CTTTTTGCATTTCATTGTTTTTTCTTGTTATGTAGGGTAAAGCTGACATTGGAGGGTCTGGAAGAAGATGACGATGATAGGGTATCTCCCACTGTTCTTCACAAAATGTCCAATAGCCTGGAGATATCCTTAATAAGTGACAATGAGTTCAAGTGCAGGCATTCACAGCCGGAGTGTGGTTATGGCCTACAGCCCGATCGTTGGACAGAGTACAGCATACAGACAATGGAACCAGATAACCTGGAACTAATCTTTGATTTTTTTGAGGTGAGCAGATACTTCATTGAGGGAGTTGAGAAAGAACACAGGTGTAAGCTTATTTTTACGTGTATTTTGATTTTTATTTTAACACAATTTGTGTAAAAGTCATGATTCATAAAACTTTTTAGATGTTTACTCCTCTGTATACTTTAGCAGGCTTAAAAAATTTGGAGTTGACATACTCAGGTATAGTTAAGCATATGATTAAGAGAACTTTAGCAGAATTGATGTTTCAAATTAAGACCAGATGTTTTGATGTCTGTGTCTGTTAAACAAGGTAAATATAAATGAATTGTATCCAAAGGAGCCTGTAAGAATAAATAGAGGGCTGGGCAGGCTGTCTATCTTGGTGGACAACCTGATGTAAGTAGCATGATTGAGGAGTCGTCTTGAGGAAAGAAGTCTTCTGTCGTTTATCAAGGTGCTTTGTTATGAGGATTCAGTGTGACAGTGGACTGACTTTGCAACTTTACTTGATTTGTGTGTGTGAGTGAGTGAGTGACAGGGTCTGTGTGTGTGTGGTGGGGGGGAGAGTTACCTGAATGTAAGTTTGATTATGTTTCTTAACAGTCCTCTTCCATAGAATGAGTTGACATTAAGGTAATTTTTTGATCTTTAAATTGAAGGTAATATAAGTTTAAGAATTAGGATTATTTGAGACCTCATTTTTTCAGGAAGATCTCAGTGAACACGTAGTTCAAGGTGATACCCTTCCTGGACACGTGGGTACAGCATGCCTCTTATCCTCCACCATTGCTGAGAGTGGGAAGAGTGCTGGAATTCTTACTCTTCCCATCATGAGCAGAAATTCCAGGAAAACAATAGGCAAAGTGAGAGGTAAGTTTGGAGAAACAGTGGAGAGACTCTTTACAAATAAGCTAAGGTGAAGTTAGAATTTTAAGTAGTTTCAAATTGAGAATGGTAAAGATTAAATTAAAAATTTGCTTTAGATTATTAACTGATACAGCAATTTTAAGGAGCATATCAAATTTTCTAGGAGCTTTACTTTGAATCAATTTTGAGTTGATTTTTTTTTCAATTTGATAGAGATTGATAAGGCTGGTTTAAGTGTAATTTAAATGTATTTGAACTCATAATGGCCTCTTTAGTCATCTTTATCTTTGTCCCTCCCTCTTTTTTTCCATGAAAGTTGACTATATAATCATTAAGCCATTACCGGGATACAATTGTGACATGAAATTTTCATTTTCCAAGTATTGGAAGCCAAGAATACCATTGGATGTTGGCCATCGAGGTGCAGGAAACTCTACAACAACTGCCCAGTAGGTTGAATATTTGAATAGGGTTAGCATGCACTAGCTTATGTTAGGTAAGGTTACATTGGTTTGACCCACTAACAGTCAAATGATTTTATTATTATCCTGGGAATTAAATATATTTTGGCAATTATGGTTACCATTTCAAAATAATTAGAAACCAACCCTAAGATTCTGCTCAGACTTTATAATATTCTACTGAATTGGTAATGAGAAAGATGTTAAAGGTAGAAAGTCAGGAGGGAAAGCTTGATGCGGAAAGTTTTGTGGCATCAGTGTGTTTCTGTTGTGGTCCGTATTTTTGGCGTGTTGCCCTCTCTGGGTCTTTCAGTTTCCTCATCTACAAAATGGAAGAGTTTGGACAAGATTATCCCTGGTATTCCTTTTAGCTCCAAGCACCATGGTTCTAAAAAAGTATAAGTAAACACAAATATTAGTTCATCTAGACCTCAACAGAAAGATGCTATCTCTTCTCAGCAGA